CGTCTGCGTACTGCAGATGGGATACACACGAGCCATTTCTACTACTTTTGAAGCCAGAGAGTAGTCCATACAGGCAGGAGATAAAGTAGCTAAATACTTCCGCAGCAATGGCAAAGAGAAAAGGAGAGAGAGGGACTCCTTGGCAAAGGCCCCTTGAAGACGGGATGTACCCTTTCGGTGACCTGTTGACAAAGAGTGTTCGTCATATCGGTCAGGAGTATATTGGTAATTTTGTATATTGTTCCAAATTTGTTAATTATTTGTAGTTCATGTTCATCGTAAAGGACAATTATGTACCCTTATCTAACCCTCAGTTAATTAGGGTTAGAAAACAATATGAATAATACCTTTGGGTGCAACACCTCACACATGAATGACTTTGGGGTAACATCACTCTTCTTTGGCTTCCTCTCCACCTATTTGTACATGTTCCACAACTTGAGCTTTTCTCTCAAGTATTCAAGGTGAAATTTTAACACAAGGGGCCTACAGGGCCTAAAAAGGTGAGACACTGCACAGGAAGTGGCAGATCCTTACTCTTATTTAGACCTTCACATGCTTCTATCCATCTCCTTCTATACTTTCTCTATCTCCTAATTCTCTCCTCTCTCTCTCCTCTCTTCCTCTCTACAACTATCTCGTTCTACTGCTCCCAACTCTACCTTTCTATCTCTCTTCTCTTCATTCACCCATTTATAGTCTTTTATTTGTGGAGCTCTCAGCTTGTGGGATGCCCAATTTTAGCTAAACTTTGTTAGGTCATACTATTAATAATTTCCTTCCTCTCAAAAAAAAAAAAATATCAATGAAATTATTTACCAACACTCATCTATACACTTGTACAAAATTGGTTGGAGAGCATTAAAATGAATACTAATTTTGCGTAATGGTGTATACTATGTGCTTTACTTCTGCAATCTCATTGACCTATTCGTATTTGTCATGAAACAATTTAATCTCTATCTATCTCATTAACAGGATTCCCACTTACAATCATTTCCTATCTATCCTATTGAACCATTGGCAAGAAGCAAACCAAGTCATAAGCATCTCATTCTTTTGGACATTTATGTTTTATCTTCATTATTGATCTTAAGAAAAACAAATGGAGTCAACTAACCATCTAGGATGCTTTCTTCAGTCATCCAAATAATTGTTAAAGCAGCATTTTTCTTTTTGTACCTCCTTCAGTATCTTTTTCCATAATTCCTTGGCAAGTACATTTTCTTTTAATCATTGTTTCAAAAAGCAGCCCATCTAGCACCTAGGTGGCCGCCTTGGCGAGCCTAGGTGCATCACCTAGGCCTAGGCGAGTGCCCTGGGCATTAAGTCCTTGGGTGGCCCGCCTAGGCGCCCAGCCCTGGGTGGCCGCCTAGGCGCCCAGCCCTGGGTGGCTGCCCAAGGCCTGCACTCCGCCCAAGGGTGAAAAGGGGCATTTTTTGTCTTTTTTACCTAGGGAAAAGGGGGGGTTTAGGTTATTGTGTAACATAAACCCCTTGGTTTGCCTTTAGAATGGGAAAAAATTCCAAAAACAATCACTTTTTCACATTTCTAAGAGATCGATCGGATATTTTTTGAGTTTTAAAAAATCGATCCAAATATCATCTTTTTTATTTGGATTTGGATTTGAATTTGATGATTTTTTAAACTTATTAGAGGGTTTTTGGGAAGCATTTGAGAATGAAAAACATCTCAAACAATGAAGATTGGAGATCGATAAAAACAGCTAGTATAAAAATCTTCATATTTGAGATTTTATTTGTTATTTTAATATCTTCTTCAGGTTCTTCTTAATGTAGTGATTCGGGTTTGGAAGTATGATTATAACCCAAATCCAAATGACGAAAATTGTATAAGATGTAATTATTGCGAAAAAGATACTAATAAGGGTTTACAACCCAAATCCCAATGACAAAAATCATATAAGATGTAATTATTGCAAAAAAGATACTAATGGGGGTATCTACCGGTTCAAAAACCACTTTATTGGTATTAGGGGGAATGTTGCCCCTTACAAAAATGTTTCTAAAGCTATCAAAAAGAAGATTAAGCAATATATGAGTTCGGTATAACACAAATAAGAACAAAAGCCTTGTCATTTGGATAGGTCTATTTATGGTTCTTCTAGAAGTGGTGATCTGGATTGGAAGTATGGTTATAACCCGAAACCAAAAGATAAAAGTCGTAGAAGGTATATTTTTCATGAAAAAGATACCAATAGGAGTATTAACCGATTCAAGAAACACATATCCGGTATTAAAGGGAATGTTGCTTCTTGTAAAAAGGTTCCTGAACCTAATAGGGATGAGATTAGACAATATTTGAAAGTAAAACCTCAAAATGAAGAAAATGAGCCTTGTTATATGAAAATATATTCACCAGGTTCTTCTAGAAGTGGTGGTCTAGGTTGGAAGTATCGCCATAACCCGAATCTAATGACAAAAATTGTATAAGGTGTAATTATTGTAAAAAAGATACTAATATAGGTATTTATCGGTTCAAGAAACACCTTGCCGATATTAAAAGGGATGTTGCCCCATGCAAAAATGTTCCTAAGGATACCAGGGCGGAGATTAAGCAATATTTGAGTTCAGTGAGACAAAAAAATCAGAAATAGGATGAAGAGGCACCAAGTAGAGCAGCTAAGACTCCTAGAACCTCATCTGCACAGAGTAAGAGGATGGAAGAAGAAGAGAAGGAAGAAGCAGATTCAAAAGAAACAGAGGAGGATGAACGTTATGCTGAAAAGGAAGATGACTCTGATGATGATGGCCTCGAATCCGAGGCATATGATGAGGCTTACCCTGCTTTTTTTTATGATGACTAAATTGAAGACACTTGACTTTTGGTGTTGAGTCTTAGATTGTATATTTGTTTTTTTTTCTAGTTTCTACTATCTACTCTTATGTGTATGCCTGTATGGTTGTATCATTGTATGGAAATAAGGATTATGCAATGATATGAACTATGGAGCATGGAGTGTGGTCTATGGAGTATGGATTATGGATTGTGCCTGTATTACTAATTTATAAATTACTATTATATTTTATTTTTGTTTGTGCTAGTAGTCTATCTACTACGAATATACAATGGTTTGGAACTTTTTAGATTATGGAATTTTAATACTTTATGATGTATACTCATATTCCCTTGCCCCCCACCCTTCTTCTTCAACCTAGGTTACTCGGCGATCGCCTAGGCACCAGACGCTTTTTGGAACACTACTTTTAACTGCATAATTTTTTTACCTGCAATCCTAAGGGACCATGACTTAGTAAAGTACATAAGGAACAAGGCCATTAATGTAAACATGAATACTAACAGTCTAGTCCCATTCCTATGACCCAAAACCACACAAATTATAGTGGCTAGTATCCTTTGGTCCTTGAATGAAGTACAAGGAAAACCCTGAATGACAAGAAGCAATTGGGTTTTTATAACACTCTCCCCTCAAATAGAGCTTGCATCAAAGAGATCCCGTTCAATGAAGAATAACCCAACAATTAAAACTAACTTTTCACCATCCCAAAAATTCTCGCAAGTGATTAAACTCAAACAGTCCAAACAAACCTGAATTCTACAACCTGTTACTAGTGACTTACTTTTTCACTACTGAACTCTCCTACTCTCTAAAAATTTTGAAGGAACACCATAAAATCAAATAAATTTTAGTTTTTATAATGGAAGACCTTATCTAGATTTAACTCCCAAAATATTTTTTTAGGAATGTTTCAGTTAGCATTTCACCATGTCACAATTTAGAAGTTCCCAAAAATTGTATAATAGCATCCCACTATTTTACAAGGTCACCCTTGAACCCAAAATTCAACTTAAGATAATTACGAGACTACTTTACTTCAAGCAAGCATCATGTCTAGTGAACTTAGAGAAATGAAAAAATTTCTTTTACGTAAAACATTTATGAATTTGATCTACGTATACTAAGTTAAGATAAATCAATCTTGCATAAACTTTTCCCCCTAAAAAGTTGATAAGTTATTGTTTCTAACATACCCAACGCGCAGTCAGTATTCAAAAATATAGAGGACACTAGGGGTCCAAGCCGCCTAAGTGGATGCCCAGAAACAACATGGGGTTGGAGGATTTTTGTGTTTTTTCTTCTTTTTTTTTTGGTGGAATTAGGCGAATAGGAGTTTTGAGGGCTAGATTTGCTCCCCAAAACCCTTTTCTCCCCTTTTCAGGATTGAAAGTTAACTTGTTTTGCCCTTGGCCAAGGGACTCTTTCCGCCCTCGGCCAAGTTGCTCAAAGTGCCGCCTAGGCACCCGCCAAGCCGCCGTCTAGTCATCCATCGTGAGGCAACTACCTAGGCGGTGCCCAAGAACAAGTACGCCAAGGCACCCACCTGCCTAGGCCCCACCTAAGCATTTTGGCCTCTGATGGCATGATTGGATTTTCGAACTATACTAGCAGTACCAATAAAGGTAGGCTACCTACCATTTTATTATTTTTCAGAGTGAAATACAGAAGGGAATCAAGTCATGCAAGGTTATATCTCCCAAATAGAAAGATAAACACAGATTTCCCACAACTCTTACTTCCTTTCAGAGTATACCTGAAGCAGATTTCACATAAATATGGCTTCTTGTCTTTCAAAAACTCAAAGAACTATGAATTTCTGATGTAGTTTACTATGCATGCACTCAAGGTCTCAGAATCACCACTTAATTTGCATATCCACTCCAGAAAAACAAATTCATATCTCTGTTTCAGCGACTAACTTGTGCACTAGTCGCATCACAAGCACTGCAACACTTCCTGGTTTTTACTCAGCTCATTAATGTACACACTCAAGGCTTCACATTTCCTAATAAAAGCACAACTCCTCCCGCATGAAATATATACTAAAAGCCAACAAATTATTCAATGGACAAAAAATGCTCATTCATTTATAATAAATTAGGAACTAGAGCACCACAAACATTACAGTTAAAACATGAACTGCAAAACATAACAAATAATAAACAGACTGAAGGCTTACCACTCTCTAGAAATTCATGTCCCCTAGCTGTGGGAGAGAAAACCTACTGGTTCTCTTATTGCAACCAGAATGGATGGCTGATGAAAAATCTCAAAAAAAACTTGTAACAATGATCACAACCCCTTCAAACACATGCTTTTAATAAGAGAGAAAGAGCAGCAGACCTCTTAAACCAATATATTTGATGAGAGAGAAAGAGCTGCGGATTCCAAAGATGAATGAGCTAGAATTGAAAGTTTTCCCGCCCCTCTCTGTGCGAAAGGAATCGATTTCAGAGACGCGTCAATGGTTTTACAGTACCATCAACACTTCGCATCGACACTGAGCCTTCTTTCGCTGCTATCGATGCGGTTTTGTGTTCTTCGTGAAAAGGGGGCGCATTGCAAAGGGTCGAGTCGGAACCTGAAAGAGACCGAGAGTTTTTGGAAAACTGGACTATAGTGCACTGTAGATAAGAAGATCGTAAAAGGGTTGTACGCAGTGGTGTAACCGTTATCACCGTAGAGTAATTTGATGGACGGTGATAGAGTTACAGTGGACCCGCCAGTTTATGAAATGATCCAAGGACCAGGTCCTATGACATCTGCACCACCGTCATGAATCGTGGTGTTCAGTCAGGAATTGATCACGCACAATAATCCAATGTTCCAAAACCGGATTGATGGGGTGATTGTTCACCCTACCGATCCGTGTCAAATTATTGGGGTATCTGAATCAATCAAGATCGATATGAATCGATCTAAAAAATAAAAATTGAAATAGATGATTATAGAGTGAGGATTTTGGGGGACCTGAAAAAATATTTGTAGGCTTAAAAAAGAAAAAGAATATGCACAAGGTTTTAAGACAGAGGTTGAGCCGGGACCGATATTGTCCTGAAATGGATTCAGTCCATGCTGATCCTCGATCCGAATCAATCATCTAGATCAATAATTGCATAGTTTTAAAAAATCAATAGTCACTCGCTTCTACGAGACAAATGGTTTCATAAAAACATCTATCACCAAGAAGCTAAAGCTCATGTTTCATCGCCCCGAGGACATAAAACACATTTTCGTTGGGGTGTAGGGATGTTTTTGGACTTTATCTAAACTAGTGATATGCACATGCATTATGCGTGCTATTAATACATAAATCTTTCATGAAAGAAGTCAATAATACACAAATTCCAGCCGCTAAGATTCTCTTATACAAATTTTTAAATAAAAATTACAATTTTAATTGATCCCTTTTCATGGCCAAAACTCTAAATACAACCAAATCCAATACAATGCTTGAATACTCAAATATTTGTGTTTACAATACTACACAACATACGTACTCAAATGTTTTTCATCACTTAGGAATTAGTTCACTTCATGTGCAATCTTCATCCTTATCGAAACTGCAAGATATCATATGCATAGTAGACTTGATCATGAGGAGCCAAATATAAATTCAACTTGCATGGTATGTGGCCAATAATTCAACATGGCATAAAATCATAGATTACATTGACATAGGAACAAACATATTCCACGTATGACATGCTCAATTCCTCTATAGCACAAATCATCAAACAATTGTAAAGTATATCAAATAAACATGCAAGCAATCATTTGGGAAGTTATAGGTCGAATCCTTTGTGCACGGGTCACAAATCGGACCTTTTAGGGACTTAAATTTATCTCATAGACGAAAGCATTGGTGGTTAATACTCAAGGAGATCACTTCACTTTGAGAAGCGTATAATCACTTTTATGCCACTTAAGAATGTTCAATTAGAGAGAGATATATGTTTGAGATCATATTTCAAAAGGTTGAAAGAGATCCTACGCAAACGGGTCAAACTATGAACAAATTACATAATATGGAGCGTGGGAACACCAAACTTTTCTCAAGAAAAATGGTAATCACGTATCCTCATTTTTTATTCCCAAATATGCTAAAGAACTCATTGATCTGACATATAAAACTCACTAAGATGCTCAAATAAATCAAGTAGAGAAAATCCATAAAAATTAATATATAGATGAAGGAAATTCAATCTACACTATGCATGGTGGACGATGGGAACACAAAATTTTTCTCAACACAAAATGGTGATCACAAACCCCATTTTTGTTTCTCGATTATGTAAAATATATTCACTGATCTGATGCATACTTAAACTAAAATTCTCAAAAAATTCAGATAGAAAAAGGCTATAGAAAACAAGTTATGGTTGAAGGATACTTAATCTTCTCAACGCATGATCAAGCTATGGACTATACTATTGAAATTTAGCACAAAGATCAATGAAACTAAAGTTTAAGAGGTCCAAAAGCTTATGTAAAATGTAATTTACAGTAAGCTTTTGATGAAAAAATTATGTAAATCAAACTCAATTGAAGTAAATACCTTGATAAGGGAGATGAGCCAATATGATCTTCAAGAGAAAACAAGCTCACCATGGAAAAATTGAACTCACGTTCATGAGTCTCCATGGCTGGTTTGTGGAGCTCAAGTGGGGCTCTCTCTTTCTCTCTCTAAGTTTGAAATTGATCTTCTTAAGTTAGGGCAAGTTGAACCTTTAAGTGATATTTATATTAAGTGATTAGATGTGAAGTGATTTTAGCCCTTGGTGATCCTTATCTATGGCACATGAGAGGCTATAATCCTAGCCACTTATCTTCATCCAACCATCAAGATGTAGAGATGAGTTTTGACACCATTATCACCCCTTAAAACCCTAAGTTCAACCCTTTTATACTTGGTCCTTTGTTCCACAGCCTCTGCTATTAAATATTGTCATCCTCCTGTATTAAATGTTAATCACGTGGCTGCATTAGGTACAAGTGTGTCAGGAACTGGGTGCCATTGGCAATGGTGCCAGCGCCATTTGGACTAACTCCATGAGATAAAAATGCCATGTGTCATGCTCTGGATGTTCTATCGTACGGGGGTCAGGGTGTGTCACCATTTTGAATGCCCTCTAATGCCATTTCGAATGGAGACGATGTCAGGCATTTATTTTGGCTCATTATACGATCGACAGTTGATTTGACACTGCCTTTCCCAATCCTAGGTCAACAACCAAGCTCCGTACTAACAACTGCCACGTTAGTACCTTTTGACATGTATCAGTCTATACCAGTGATTTAAAAATCGGCGAGTCGCAACGGACTCGCCCGAGTCGGTACGGAAATCGGTAACCCCATGCCGATTACTTTATAAAACCGGGAATAGCCCGATTCTAGAACAAAACCGACTGTTCTAAATAGTGAACAGCTAGAACCGGCGATTCTGAACAGTGAACCGCCGGTATGATGTCATACACCGGTCAGAACAGACCCGTATGATGTCACGTATTGCCGATTCTCAATAATATGTAGTGCGCGATACGTCGCATCAAACCTTCATCCCTATTGGCGCGACACGCGACATGTGGCGGCAAACCTTCAACCCGCCCACGATGCCCCGTGCTTTCACGCATGCACTAAAATGCATGTGACAAAGCATTTTATATGCATAAATGTGACTCTCACTCTTCGATGTGGGATAATTTCCACAAACAATGCATTAAATTTAGATAGTTGAATAAGTATTATTAATATGGTAACTTGATACAAATGCGGCGACGTGGTTTTATGGTTATCACTCTTACTTATGTCTTTGATGTTTGAGGTTCGAATCCTCCTATAGCCAGTGTAATTTTATCCTCCTAGGCAGTGTGTATTTTTATTTAATTTTTGTTGTAAAAAAAATTAGCAAAAAATAAAGTCGTTAAAAAAATATATTTAATTTCCGTTGTAAAAAAAATAAGCAAAAAATAAAGTCATTACAAAAAAAAAAAAAGTTTATTCCATTTGAAATCTCTTTCTTTCTACTGACAATCTCTTTTACTAAATTTATTCTAGAAATCTAAAAAATTAAAATTTTGAAAAATTAAAGTGTTATTTCGAAAATTGGTACACATTCTAATAATTTCTCTATTGATAACCAAATATTTTATTTTATTTATTAATTTTTGCATTATAAATCATGTAATGTACTATTTTTTTTACAGTTGTCAATATTTTAAATTTGATGATATTATAAAATATTTTGGATTTGTTATTATTTGTATAATAAAATAATTATAAAATATGAACCAATAATTTTAAGTTTAGTATATATTATTATAGTTAGTTAGGTTGTAATAATTTGGGTTTTTTTAACGGATTAGGGTTTTTTCGCCCATTCGAGATTTTAGTGGTCATTTTTTCATCGATTTAATCTACTCTTTATTGTAGTCCATATATGATTATATACTTTTTCCATGATAATTCTATGATTTTTCTTTTGTGTGATGTAAATTTAATAGTTAACATAAGTTTATAAAGGGAAAAAACATATCAATATTTACAAATTGATGAAAAAAATGAAAGTTAACAATGCAGTGCCATCATTTCTTATTGGATTCCTAAGAGATAACATTTATAATGAATTTTAATAATTGTTTTTGGATTTTTTTAAAGCTTAATCAAATCGAGTCAGCCGATTCCCAATCCGGATCGTCAATTCACCGATCCCGATGGGTTTTTGGAGTGATATGCGATCTTGGACCATACATTCAGCATGTTTCCCCGTTTTGACTGTCAGGGATTTGGCGTTGGTCATATTGGTGCTGACGGCATTGGCAATGACGCCAGGCCCTTTTCTTTTCTTTCAAGACTTTTTTCTTCTGACAACATTGAGAATGGTTCTAGCACCATTCAGAGTGGTCGATACAATTTCCTACTTCCTAATCGAAAGTTTATGCTTCCTGGCACCATTGGAAGTGGTGTTGGCACCACTGACAATGCCTTTAGAATTTTATGCTTCCTGGAACTTTCTGCTTCATGACTAGAAGTTTTTTCTTTCTAGCGCCATTGGAAGGCGATGACACTATTGGCACTGGCTTCAGAACAAACTGCTTCCTGGAACTTTCTGCCTCATAGACGGAAGTTTTTGCTTCCTAGGGCCATTGGAAGTGGCACTGACACCATTGACATTGCGTTCAGAACTTTTTCTTCATGTCCATAATGTTCTGCTTCTTGATTGAAATGTTCTACTTCCTAACCAGAACTTTATGCTTTCAAACTGCTTCCAACTTTGTAGTTCGTGGTTTTGAACTAGTTGTTTCACTTTTTAGTTTTTCAATAGTTCGAGCTCTATCGAGCGATTTGGGGCTCAAGAGGGCCAGTTTACGGATGGGTTAAGGTGAATGTGAGTGGCTCAAGTATTGAGGTGGCTTGCCTAGTATATTTTGGTCCACCATAGTTTCCTCAATCAAGATTGGATGTATACAATGTGCCCTCATCTTATGTGGATAGCCAGGATGAAAGCATGCTTTCATCATTTGAGCCATGCACAAAAGCGCTTTTCTTGGGATTCTTTCTTCTTGCGGCCGAAGCCTTTTCCCA